AAAGAATAATATATACCATTTAGAACTTTATAATTCATTTCAAAACAAAATAAATTTTTTTAAAATAAAAAAAAACGTATGATTGGATAAATTAATTTTGGTGACAACTATTTATCACACAAAGAGGTTGGCACCGCCTGCAGATCGTTCTATTACACACACCTGCCTGTTGAATTTTATTATTATGCATGCATCCCATAGATATGATAGGAATTTTAGTTTAGACATTTAATTTAAAATTTATTTTTATTTTTATTTAGTCAAAGCTAATTAACAAGATTGGATGATGTTAAACATGAACATTTGGGATTAATCTGAACATCAGCGTTGCTGTATCAATGAATATTGTGAGATCAAAATCCGCGTATCACACAAATCTCTTGGATTCGGTTAAACTAATATTTATTTTTATGGCAGTATCCAATTATTTAATTCTTTGATTTCTTTCTTTCACTATAGCGCTCAAGCTATTTAATTATTTACAGGGCAAGTTTTCTTTACTTCCCTTCCGGTAACGTTTTCTCAGCAGTTCTTTGTTATCTGCCTGAGCCGGCACGTCTCAATGGTATTTATAATATCTCAAGTATCCGCCGTGATACTTTATGGTTCAGTGTTTCTAACTGACCGCACCTAGCTAGGGGTTTCCTCTGTTTAGGCGTTGGCCTAATCTAAAAATAAAGAAAATAAAAATAAAGAAATATATACAACTATACTTATCAAAGGCGTTCCCCTGGTAAGATAGTAATTAATTTATTAATTACGAAAATGTAATTTTCGAAGATAACAAGGTCAATGTCAAGGTCAAGGGTTATTTATTATAATAATATTCGAGTTTACAAAACTTTGAGTTAATTAAAACTAACTAATTAACTAAAGATTACGTGAAAGAGAAATTTACAACGTATTTATACATTTAGAGGTTCTATCATCTAGTTCTCCGGTTTCTTTAAAATCCTAAATTATACTAATTAATATATTCTTTAATCATTATTTAAACCTTCCATGTAGAATTATTTTCTAGTAATTTCTAGTCAACATGAGTCATGTAAAATTCTTTCGTTTAAATATTATTCTGAGACTTTGTAATTCGTTACATTTTAGAATGTTGGAATATTTATATTTCCAATATTTGGGTTATTTTCCGAGAGCTATTTATTTCATTGGTGCACTTTATTAATTATTGTAACTTTTATTAAATTGTACTGGTTTATTTCTTGTTGAGTTATTCCGTGATAATTGCTTCCAAATTTTCACTTCGTGATACATGTAAATCATTTCCGATTTATATGTTCGTTTCCCGTGATTTATAATTTACTATTTTACACTACTAAAAAAAGGATCAAGAACGAATATTTGGCTCAAGAAAACTTCCACAATTATGTGATCTTGAGATTTCATTCTCCATATTATTCTAAATTAATATAAAAAAATACTTGTTAATTATAAAATAAAAAAGAACAGAGTAAGAAGAAAAATGAGTAATATTATTAAGATAAATATAAACAAATTAAATAATAGCTTTAAAGATACAAATTTCCAAAACCACTGGAAAGTCGTCTAAAAGAATTAAAAACTATCCATTGCAAAAATGAAAAGGTAAAAAGAAATGCGAAAAATATAGAATAAAAATTAGGGTCATCCCTTTCTACATAATAAGAATAATGTAAAAGTGAAATTGATAATGAAAATAAAACTGCCATTACTTGATAAGCAATCATAACAATGGCAAAAATTAAAATCAGAGTCACAATTACAAAATAAAAAATGTAATATCTTTGACTTTTAGAACCATTATAAACAGAAAATAAAAACATTGAATAAAAAAGGACTAGTACATTGAAAAAACCCAGTTCGTAGAGAATCTTTACAACAATAGGGATATTAGGGTCATCAGAAAGGGTATCAAAAGAGAATGTTTTGAAAATGTTAAAAATATAATACAAAAGCATAGAAACAATACAAAATGAAACCAGACAGTCCATAAAAACAAGAAACTCATTTTGGGATTCTAATAGAAAAAGTTGATATCAAGTATTAATATCATTTATATATGACATTTTTTTCTTTAAATATTGAATCTTTCTCACCTTTTGCAGCCGATCTGGCAATTCTTTTATCATAATCATCAAGAAAATGAATTCGATAATCTTCATTGGTGAATGTAGCTCCAATCACATCAACAACTTCTAGTCCAAATCTTTTAGTAGCAAATTCGTTATATCTTTCAGCTTGCTCTTTAACCCTACGTCTAGCATTATGTCTAGAAACTTGAGCAGTCTTGCCACTTCCTGTATGAAGAAATTTAGTTTCAATTGTCAAATAAGTTTTGTAATCTGATCCAAAAATTAAATCTCCTTTTCCTTTGTTAAGATGACCCTCTTCAATTTCCCATTCGAAATCCACAAGGTATTCAAACCCCGGGCAAATTTTATGGATGTTATCAATTAAGTAATTTTTTATTTCATGTTCTGGATGTGTTAAACGTGCATAAAATTCTTTCCAATCTTTTATCAATGCGTTGTAAATAATTGCTCATATCGAAATCTGTACCTTATTGCCAAAAAATTTTTTACAAGTGCAGGAAAAATATTATTCCACCCATTGATTCCAAATTTGGAATCGGTTCTAAAAAAAAAATTAGAACTCCTTTGTTGATTCTATTCCCTAATACTAATCTATTTCTGATATTTTATCCGAATTCAAAATTTGATGGTTTTTTTTATCTATAGCGGCTAAAACATCAAGACCATCTGTTAGTATTTTACCTTGCTTATTTGCTGCACTCATTGCACTAAGAGATACTCAAGATATTCAAAGAGCCAATGCTTCTAAAGTTGAAACATATTAGACAACATATTATATGAGCATGAGATAAAATCAAAATTTCCAATAAAAAAAGTGGCTTAGTTGTACACTGGACTGTCATACAAAAATAAAAAATAATTAATTGTTTTTTAACGTTAACGTTAAGTTTGGATAGAAAAGTCTGTGTTCATTTTGTTATAAAAAAACCTTGTCAATCTTGACCGAAGAAATACAAATAAGGAAATAACTTGACATAAAAAACATCGATCGTTCTTTATATATATTAGCTTTAGTTTTACAAAATATATATTCAAAGTTTTAATTGAGTTGGTACGTACACTTACCTACCATAAATATTCGACCACCTGATGATCATTAATAATTGGAAATTTATGCCTTCATGTCATTCAAAATTTTATTAACCAAACCGAGGCTGGTGCATAAAGTAAACATGTTTTTAAAGTTAATTTGTGTATAAACTTGAAAGTTTCGTTGAGTTTGCATTATTAATGAACTTTGAAAACTTTAAGCTTAAAGTAAGAAACCGTATTAACCAATTTTGTATAGAGTGAAAATCGGTTTATAATGGTTCGGATTATCAAGGTTCGACTGTAACAACCCATTTTACTTCACTCTTGCTCTCTTTCACTCTTTCACACACTCTCTTTTTCCTTTTTTTACCCAAACAATCGCTTGCTACTCGTTCTACTCGCTCTACTTTCATTCTCACTCTTACTCTGTCACTCGCTCGAGAAAACAATTATTAAGATAAATGTGAATCATGCCAAAAGCTGAAAAATTAAGAGTTTTAGAAAATGTGGACAAGACAAATAAGAACCATGGTTTTCGTTATATTTAAAAAATGAATGTTTATTAACATAACCCTTTATTTTTAATAAAATAAATCTAAAGGTATAAATGGCAAATGATAATCTAAATCTCTCCATTTTTTTATAGGGAAAATCGTAATCAGTGAGGGGAAAATGGCCTTTACATGAAAAGTTGCCATAATTTTTTCTGTGTGCGCTTATAGAAAAACACAAAATTATTTTTTTTACTTTGGGGATGTAACAATTTCTCTGATTATTTATTCCTATTAAATATTAATATTAATAATGTAAAATGGATTGTAATAATCAGCAATACATCCACAATTTAATCTAACATATTGCTAGTTATTTCTTGGCAATGACATTATCAATATGTCATTTCCTTTTATTTCTTTATATGCTAAAATCGTAAATATTGTAAAAGGACAAAGTGAAGTTGATGACGATGAAACAAATGAAACAAATGAACCTGAGCTAATGATCACTAATATGGAAGCTATAAAAGCTGCGGGAACTATACTTGAATATGTACAGCAAAAAATTTTAGATATTGATTTTCAAGTAATTAGAAATGTCAAAAGATTAAAAAGTGAAATTCTCAAGAACAAGTGCAAACAAGAATGGAAGATTATTATAACGTCAACATTTTAAGTGAATGAAATTGTTTTTTTAAATTTTTTACCAACTGTATTTTTATTATCATTATTATTATTTACATTCATATTATTAAAAATAAAATAAAATTAATTTTTTAACGTAACATGTATCACATGATTTAATCAAAAATTTGATTTTTACGGATATCTCGGTATAGCGGATGACTCGGTATAGCGGATAAATTTCCTGGAACAAATATATCCGTTATACCGAGACTCACTGTGTATATATTAATATTTAATTTGGCTTTTTCGGAGTTCGATCCATAAATCATGATTGTTAGCATCATGTGTTTCCTCACAACCTAAAATAGTAGCAATTTTTTTCATTGCAGACCGTGATATTGCTGCACAACCATCTGTTAAACAGTGGCCATCCTTTGTGACGTCGTCGACATCGTAGTGAATTTCATTTTTTTTGAAAATGATTGTTGGTTTTGTATTAGAAAATCCTAATGACATTCGTGAATAAAATTTTGGGACCGTTAGATCGTAATTAAGTTCAATTGAAATCATATTTAGTATTAATATTAATATTAATAAAATAAAATAATCCGTAAAACTTTTACGATGATCGCCATGAAAATATCGCATGTTGGAACTATATATATATAAATTAATTGATTGTTCCTCTGCAGCTAGATTCGGCCGTGACTTTTTTACAGGTGAACTTCACAACTAAAAATGGAAAATGATCATAAAAAAATACTATATATCATCAATAACAAGGTTTTTTTCCTGGGTATATACATATATATAATAAATGCTCAATACCATCAAACAAACTCATTTTGGGTATTAAAAACGAAAATTTAATTGAATAGTTTTCAGGGCTAAAACAGTCCCACCTCTCAGAAAAATTATTAGAAATAACTTCTAAATTCGTATCATGAATATATATCATTTTTACAACCATCAAATTTTTTATTGCCAGAGGTATAAGGGCCTCGGATATGTGTGTCAAATTTATCAAAATAAGCACCACGTTTATACACATCAATTGCCTGAGTTTGTGTACCAAATCGCTCTCCAGCATGGAAATGGCTTTCAAAATGTGATTTTTTAACATTTTGATTTAATTCAAGATAACCTTGAATATGTTCGGTATTATTTTCATTTCCTCGTTCATACAAAAAAATAACAAATTTAAAATATTTTATTTGTAAAAATTTATTTATTATTTTTTAAAAACATTAATATAAATTTTTAAAAAATAAAAAAGTTATTTTTATTTAATTAATTTTCGGGAGTGGTTGTAATCTGTAAATAACAAGATATTATATTAATTCTTTGCTAGTTTAGTTAAATGACTTTAATTAACAGGAAATAACCTACAGTATAAGTGAAAGTATTTTTTTCGATATCAACAGTATTGTTGATAATATAAACATCTCCATAATTAGTAGTATCAACATGACCTTTGTTTGTATCAGCTGGTGCCCATGGACAATCAAAATTAACCTTAAATTCCCCGATTTTTTCAGTTCCACGTACAACATATTTGAACCATCCAGTAACACCAGAGGGACTATCTTGTCTACCTTGAACTCCAACCCTGGTTTCACTACCAGGTCCAATATCTTTAAGTTCTTCAGTTTCGTCTTGCATACGACCCCAGGTGAATCCTTTATCCTTAGTAACGAAATTGAATTTTTTAGTATTATTGATAATTACCACAGTTGCATAAACAGTCATCTGTAATTATGAATAAAAAATAGTGTTAATATTTGATATAAATATTAGAAGATTTTAATATTCTTACATTGGTTATATTAATTATATTTTTAAATATGTAAAATTCTTAACTTCTCTGAAATCAAACGTATTTATAAATAATGTAAAATATATTGTTTTATTGTAAATAATATTATTATTTTATTATTCTTCTTTATTGTTTTATTGTGGCCGTTTTGCTTATTTGTTTGCGCGCAAAAAATGCAAACTATAAATAAATATTTAAGTATTATTAACTAGATTATACTCGTATGTAGTATATATTAAACAGTTGAAAATCTTGCTTTATTCATAAATGCCTTAGATTAATTTTTCGCAATCGATAATCGAAATCGAAATAATCGATTATAATCGATTATGAATTGATCGACAAATCAAAA